CCGTCTGAAGCAAAGAGATGTGTTTTGTAAGAAAATATCCATGTTTATAACTTTAAAAACTATTATCACTGGCACGCCTATTCAGTAAGTTTTCTTCCACCACCATGATTTTTAATTGACACGCCCCAAACTGTAACTCTGACATATGAAAAAAACAGTCAGGAAAATCTCATCTTTGAAATGGAACAGTTTATTGAAAAAATATATTTTTTTAAAAGGTTTGCATGTGTGTTTTTGTTGGGTATCAAATGTGATGCATCAGGTTTTATGGCTCATATATGATATAGGGAGAATATGGAGCTCTTACTTGAGGAGGAACAAACACGTCAATTTTATTCAGAGGCCCAAACGGAATAAAAATATGCAATTTTGTGCAGATGCTGATATTTCTAAGGTCAAAAAGTAAGATAAGATCCTGATAGCTTGTAATGTAAATCCATAAGATATTTATAACAATATAGAATACTGCATATAAATAATTATAATGATCAAACCTCTGTAGTTGTTATTGTTGAAGAAAAAACATAATGCAATGAAAAAATTGATGATTAAGAGATGAACAAATAAAGTTCCTCAAAAGCCTGATGGGTCATATTTCATACTTACATTTTAACACATTTTTTTCTTCAGTGTTCATCTTGAAATATTACTAATAATATAAAAGTTATCCTTGTGCTATTTCAACGCATTCTCACCCCAAGGCGTCACCTTTGACCATGCTTCAATATTTGACGTTTTAGGCGCCCTTTAGCGTCAGTTAGATGACGCCGTAGGATCGCGTCATGTAAGTGACGCTAAAGGGTCAGTTAGAGGACGCGGTTAGGTTTAGGTGTGGGGTGGGGGTAGGGTACACGCGATCCTAGGGCGTCATCTAACTGACGCTAAAGGGCGCCTAAAGCGTCAGATATTGAAGCATGTCCAAATGCTTCCCAAGGCGTCAGTTAAATGACGCCTTGGGGGTGAGAATGGGCTGGCTATTTTATAAAAAAAACCATTAAAGATTTCACAGCAAACACACGAACAATGACCAGAAGGTGGATGTTTTTACAACTATCCTTTTAATTGCTAAAAACGAATAAATCAGACGACAGAAGCCATGTAGTACATTGAGTACAAGTTTTGATCATGTTCATAATTACGATGCCAAGTTTCTCAGTTATGACTTAGCTTTGTTGGCTTTTATGTGCGCTACATCTTGTACAATCATTCCAAGTCTTTTCTGATTATGATCTACACATATTCAGAATAAAAAAAAGCCATGTAAAGACTGAACGAATGATTTGTAGCCTTGTTGTTTTCATAAACATTTATAGAACTAGTTATGCACAGGATTATTTATTTTGAAAAAAAATATTTTTATAATCTTGCCTGAGGCCTCACAAATTCCACGGCCAGCCCTCCAGATCTGTGAAATTCAGTATATGTAGCAACTTTTTGAAAATTCTCCATTAACCCTAAAGATTAGCTCTCAGAAGCTGAATAACATTGACATATCTTTGACCAATAGTTTAGCAGCAATGGCAAACACGTCACGCTTAAATGGGGGAAGGAGAATCTTTAGACATCATTTGTTATTGTATAGGATACTCCATGACTCGTTCAAAGACTGGAGGTCACACTGTTACACGCTGCCTCCATGCTTCATCGGCCCTGCTTATGCTGACCGTGTATTCAGTGAACAATTCAATTAATTCTTACAAAACATTACTTCATCCTGCGTGACCCTCAAAGTACTTGCCTGAATTCAAAAATTGCCTGGGCAACACCCTTCAGTATAAGAAGTATGCTTGGTCCCATTGGAAACTATCTGCCTCAACAAAGTCACCGCCTCCTCTTCATCTTTATGGTCTTGTATGAAGGACCCCAAGGGGCTGAGGGTGGACAGGTTGGGTGACAACCAGGTCTCAGTAAGATTCGGAAACGCATTCCAGACCTCTTTTGAGAATGGGGACACTGGCCAAACATGATTAATGGCGGACGTGTATGACTGCTTGAAGGGCAGACCATAATTCACCACAAGGAGGAACTCGAAGAAACATCCGCCTAACTCGTGAGCAAACCACAACCCTCCACTCGGCTCGCGTTCATCTCAGGTGCAAAGTTGTCGTCCTTTATGCGTGCTGTTGTTTTTATCATGCTAATACATAATTGCCCGCTCGCAATTATCGATAATTGCGGGGAGTTCTCCTTTAGTTTTGCCTTAATCAGAAATTTGCACTATAAAAAGGGCCCTGGGTTTATATTTCACACAATTACACATTCACTGCTTTTCATCTCTTTTTAATCTCCTGCAAATCTGAAACATGGAGTTTGTTCACAAACACAGCTGAGACCCGACGATTTGCTTTGACATTTTGCTAAACGAATGAAGCAATCCCATCAATGTTGGGCCTCTGTGTCTACTGATTAAAATCATTTGAATTGCAGATGACGTCTTTGTCTAAAGAGTTCAGTAAACAGAGGCATCACGTTGATAGGCACGCCAATTTTTAATTGAAATAAGATCGCCACCCGCTTTGAGCCATAATGCACATAATGACGTGTGACCACGAGACTATTTTCGTTTATCAAATGTGGCTGTAATGACTGCGATAATCCGGATTATTTTGGAAATCTATTATAATCTGTGTCATTCAAAATGATTTCCAGAAAACTATCAGCCGAGGCCACGAAAATCAAAGTGCCTGCCTTGTTGTCCTTTCATTCTTTTTCGAATCTTTCTGCTTAGGCGAAAAACTGTGGCTAATTTATTCATAGCTCAGCATTTAGTACCTCTAATCTATGGCTGATACTGTTACTGATGCTTGTAATTGTATGATATTGTTAAAGCTGGTTTTCAGGCAGGGTGCTTATCAGGGCCTGTTTAGTGTGCAGCTTGTGGGAAGGGAAGCCCAAATTGAGGAGAAATCAACTGCCGCCTTGGTAAGCAGGGTCGGAATTACCGTGATGGACTGGGGCTGGATTTCTCTCCCATGCATATTTTTGCCCATTGTCATGATCCTCGTCCCTTAATAAGAGCTGACAGAATGTAAATGGGATTTTAAGGGAACTGGCAAAGTCTGTAATTTTTCTCATTTAGTCCATGGATGAGTGAGCCAAGCCGGTAAGATTTGTATGGGAATTTGAGATGGTTCAGTGCGACATGTCAAACCCTGATTATGAACTCAAGGGAGCCTTTTTTACCTTAGCCAGTCATCTTCATTTCTTGCCTCACCCTTCCTCGCAGGTTGTATTAAAAAGGGCTAATTGTTCGCAGTGACATTTTCAGTGGATAAAATAGATATCAGCAAAATGACATAAAAGATGACTAGACAACACTCTTACTGCTGAATAGAAAATGGCTCCTTTTTCAGCTCGTTCTTATCCCAAGGCTTCATCTAACTGACGCTTTTGACCATGCGTCAACATCCGACGCACATGGCACCATTTAGTGTCAATATGAGACCTAGTGGTCTTACTGTGCGTTCACACCAGACGCGAGTAATGCGCCAAATTCGCACCTACCACGTCTAGTTATTCGCGTGAGCACTTTGAATCCATTCGCGCGTCCAGAGCGAAATACAAACGACGCGTGTAAAAACAAACGTTTGAAGCGAGTTTTACGCGCGTCTGAATCAAAATCCGTTGGCGGCCATCTTTTTTATGTTGATCGAGTATTCATCGAAAGAGTATTTGCTCTGGAGAGCAGAACAGTTGCGTGGGGATCATCGTCACCGTATTTGCGTCCACCAGACCCTACGGAGGCGAACCGTTTGCCGACTTTAACCATTTGCTCGCTCCAGGATGACGGCTGCTGTCAGCGGTACTTCTGCCTGTCCCACGCCCAGTTTGATTACCTGTTGTCCGCCCCAAATTCACGTCATTGGTTGAGCCCCTGTTGCTGTGGCAGGCTGGTTGGGATTCTCAAAAAAACTTTTGAAAACACCACAGATTCACAGTGTTTACACTTTTTATGGAAATCAAACAAATAGAAACAAATAGAAATCACTTCATCTTTAAGTATGAAGATCCCACTACCATTCAAAAGTTTGGGGTTGGTAAGAATTTTAATCTTTATTTTATTTTTTTTTTTTTTGAAAAATGTTTGCCAAGGCTGAATTTAATTGATTAAAAAATACATTAAAAACTGTTCTTTTGTGAAGTATAATTACAATTTAAATAATCTGTTTTCTATTCATATATATATTTAAAAATATAATTTGTTCCTGTGATGACACAGCTGAATTTTCAGTATAATTACTTCAGTCTTCAGTGTCACATGATCTTTCAGAAATCATTCTAATTTTTTTTTTTTTTTTTTGTGGAAACCTTGATGTATTTTTTTATTTGATGAATCAAAATATCAAAGGAACAGCATTTATTTGAAATAGATTTTTATTTTATTTTAATCAGTTTAATGCATCAATGTACTGACCCCAAACTTTTGAACGGTAGTGTACTCATTTATTTCAGTTATCAAGACCTTCTGAAAAACAACAAAACTAACCACTCTCCCTACATGCTATTGGTCAAACCAGCAGATAGCTCCGCCCCAATCACTGTTGCCATATCTCAACCAACAGTTGTTCTAGCATATATTAGATTCAGGTTTGAAGTATGAAGGGCCACATTTTGTGACACACAACCAAAGCAAATGATTAATGCAAGTTGTTAAAAGCCTCAATAAAGCCAACATCATTCTCCTTCAAACCCTCATAAACACTCAGGGTAGTTTTGGGCCGGGGGGTGATATTGTGGGGCACTGCGGCTGTAGCTGAGAGACGCCGTGTGTAATGCAGGCTGTTAGTGATGTTAAATGAAGCTTGAAGCCTGGCTGACAGCAGCATTCCTCCACAGGCTCGGCGCTGAGAGAGGAGGAGAGGGGCCAACAAGGGCAGAGTAATGGTCTAAGAGAAACCACGCAGGACACGGCGCTTGTTTCGGCGGACGGGCCATTATCTCATAAGGGCCATTATCTTAATGGGGTGACCGTCTCGATATGACAGATATCACAGAAGGACTGACACATAAAAAGTTTTTATAAGATGAATTTACCAGTGTACAATCTCTGCGGTAAAACACAATTGACCCATAGCTGTATACTGATGTAAATAACCTTGTCAAGGTGGGTTACAGTTGCTTTTATGTGTGTGTATATTGTTGAATGTTGTTACAAAACAAAAGTTTACTCACAAATACACAAGTACACTATTTTCCTTCCTATATTCATCTGCGATGAAAGCAATGCGTAAATAACTTTCCAGGACATAACGTTTTTCAATTCACCCTTTATGAATAGGATCACATTGTCAGTGTTAAATAATGTTTGCTACAAAGGTACATCATATAAAACTGTTAAATATATATATAACTTTATGACTCTGAAAATACATAGGGTGGTCTTTCACGAAGCGCAAGTCTCCGCTAGTCTCTTCAGGTCAGGTAGATAATGTTCGCTTCGACAAATCGTTTGCCGCGCTCGCTACGTTTCTGAATCCTGACTGATTTCAGTCCATTACACAACAGTGGTAGCAGAACTGCAAAAGAAGAAAAGTCAACAGTTTTGATGTAGAAGTCTTTGTCTATTTTGCATGTGCTCAGTTGGAAAAACTCCTTACAAAGCTCAGGTATGTGTTGTTTTTTTTGTGTGTTTTTTTTTTTGCTTGCGTTTCTCGAAGCTGAAGCAGCTGATGTGTGTATTCATATTGGAAATCCTTCCCCACGGAAATTGTTTGTCCGTATTTCTTTGGTCTGTTAAATTTCAATAGATCCTCACACTTTTCACGATCCAAGTCGCAAACTTTCCTGCATTCGTCATCGCACTGATCACTTGCCCGTTTTGGCATCGGCAAAAATGTTGGCCGGTTCCAACTCTGATTGACAGCACAGGGGGATCCATTCCTCACGGTCCACGTAAACTCCATGACGAGAGGTCCTCACCCCTTATCTTATGAGACTGAAGGACTAATGGTGAGACTGACAAACAGGGCTAACAGGACTATGATGAATGCTCCCCTCCCCCGCACCGCTGTAGCTTTGGAGAATGACGAGGTTCTTCCATACGTTGCCTCTCTCTTGGGAAAATCTTCCCCCATTGGCGTCAGGATACCTGGGATTGAACAACACAACAGTTAGGGTGTATAACACAACACTATGTCCCAAATCCAACCCTCGTTGGACTCTAACCAAGGATATAGGCAAATCTTTAAGGCGTGGAATGGCAAAAATTCATTCTTTAATTTTAATAAAAAGCCCTCTTGATGTCAGTGATATAGTTCTTCAGATGCTGTCCAAAAAGATTGATTCACTGCCTGGTTAGTCCAGTTATACCATCCCATCGCAAAGTCACGATTTTCTTTTGATGTGCTTTGAGGAATTTATTCGGTAAATGTGTTTCCATGTGCATGTTTTTTTTTATCAGATAAAAATGTATCCGACTCAAACAAGCACATACATTTTTTTATGCACGTTTTTAGAATTTAAAAAAGTTTCAATCCTGCAGTTTTGTATGCGATATCCCAAAATGCGCACACAAATAGGTGGATGGAAACATAGCTATTGTTAATCCATTGGGGTATTTAACATGACATTAGCCCTTTTGACAAGCGAGTCAATGTCCTGAGTTGTTGTTTTGTTTTGTGGCACTTACTGTGGTTGTTTTCACTCGGCCTCCCGGCTGTGCACACGTCCAGCCCGTTCTGTTTACCAATAGGTCACAGCCTTCGTCATCCAAACAAGGCATCATCTCACACCACTGTCTGCTCCTGACAATATGTGCTGTTAAAAGAAGAGAACAAAACAAATATGAATATGCAGAACAACATTCGCAACCTATTTTACATCTGTAAGTCTATAGATTTCTTTGTGAAACAGACACATTAAATTGAAATGAAACGCAATTAAACAACCTTATTTATTAGCTATTATTTTAATCAAAGCATGGTCTCTATATGACTGCCAACTGAAATGCAAAATAATTAAAATTATATCAGAGGAAATTTGTCTATTACATATATATATCATTATATGAATGCCATTAAGGCCAAGTTTAGTTAATAAATATAATATTGTCATTTGAGTGAAATGACTTAAGACATTCAGAGGTCAAGACATTGTAGAAAAAAGACATTTCATGCAACAAAGGAAAATAGCAATGAAAGAAAAGAGCTCCAGCACTTGGCCTAATATCCTAAGCCTTTCTCTTTGAAACAGATCGCTAAGGTCCAACAGTGAGAATTTTTTCCTGAGGTAAGATTGTTTTTGCACTTAATCAAACATAAATGTCTATTTATAATAACTAGGGCACCCTTACATGTTCATTTGCATACCGTGACACCCCAATTGGCCCTTAGAGAGAGAGATTGGAAAAAAAGGGGGAGGGAGGAAAGGAAACTGAGAGAAAATGAAACAGAGAGAGAGAGAGGAAAAAACAGTACATTTGTGAGGTGGAGAAAATGATAATCAGAGTGAAATATAACCCAGGGAAGCAAAAGTACATAAATATCAGGGTGGCAGAATTTGTACGTTTGGAGAAAGGCTAACAAAGTATTTGGAGAACAAGTGGAGGCGAAATGTCATTCTCACCAAAGGAAAAGGCTCGTTCTTAAAGGTAAAAAATAGTTGTAGAGATGGCTTCCAAACTCAGAGTAGTTTGTTATGTAGTGAATGTTTCCCTCACAGCGTCTACTCTAGGGACTAGCTTCCGCTACTAATCTCCAGCATTAGTATTCACTGTTATGCCCTGGGCCATAACGACAAATAAAAGAGCCTTTCATGCAAATTTGGTACGTCTTCATTCTGTAGGCATGATTCACAAAACCGTAGGATGCAGCCAGTGGTGCTCTAATCTACACTTTGAGTTTAGTATACTATTTAACATCAGTCTTACATGTATTTTTTTTTTTAAATATTAATTCAGGGTTGGGTGTGAGTTGCTTGGCTTGATTGGTTTCATATTGATTGGAGGGCTTGAACAGAATATGGTTAAAATTAGAACAAAAAACATAGTTGTTTTGACAAAGCCTTGCCTGAATACTTAAAATAGTTTAAAAAGCCTTGAAAGTTGTGTAGGCCTTGTACTTTATAGATAGTTGGATAGATAGATGGACGGATGGACAGACAGACAGACATAGATGAATGAGTTGGTAGGTAGGTAGGTGGATGGATGGATGGATAGATAGATAGACGGACGGACGGATGGACAAACAGACAGACAGATTAATGAGTAGATAGATAGATAGATAGATATATAGATAGATGGATAGACGGATGGATAGACGGATGGATGGACGGATGGATAGACGGACAGATGGATGGATGGATGGATGGATGGACGGATGGATGGATGGATCAATGGGTAGATAGATATGGGTGGATGGATAGATAGATCAATGGGTAGATAGATATGGATGGATGGATGGATGGATGGATGGATAAATAGATCAATGGGTAGATAGATATGGATGGATAAATCAATGGGTAGATAGATATGGATGGATGGATGGATAAATAGATCAATGGGTAGATAGATATGGGTGGATGGATGGATGGATGGACAGATAGATGGAGAAATGGGTAGATAGATATGGATGGATGGACAAATAGATATTTAAATGGGTAGAGATATGGGTGGACAGATAGATAGATGATAGATGGATGGATGGATGAAGGGAGAGACAAATAGATTGAATTATAGTCCATGATCTTCATTGGAAGTATGTGGGATCTTTGATACAATTTTCTCTTAGGAAAACCATAAGTCAGATCAGAAAGTAAAGCAATAGCATCCCATATCAGGCTGAATAACATAAAAAGCTGAAAAGCTCTAGCAGACGTTACTTTTTATAAATGTCTGGTCTTGCATTAGGGATTTGTCAAGCCAACATACTGTAATAATGATGCCCCCAAAACCCTTCATTTCACAGTAAAATACTCAGCTACTCCGAAACCCCCCCACATCCCACCTCTAACTCATTCTCTGCTTGTCTCTGGAATGACATTAGATCACTCCAGCCTTCAATGATGCATGACACATGACAGATCATCAACATTTTAACACTTTAAAGAACTAAAGTCAACAAATCCACAAACAACAGCTGAAGAGAGTCCTGTCAGCACCACACATACACTCTCAGACTCGCTCTCTAATGAGCTGTCCTCTGTCTTCTGGTATTGAGCATTGAGACTGTCACTCCACTGATGGGAAACAGATTATGACAGAGTGCACAAAGTGCCTCTCCGACTCAACACATCAAAGAACTCTGGGAACTTGGAGGTTTTGGTCAAAGGGGCACAAAAGTAAAACTAAAGTTGCATACTGAGAGCAAAATGTGACATTGTTCAGATAATAATGTTTTATCCGATTCTGAAAGGAAACAACTCATTCTTGCTTATCATTTCTATAACTCAGACTACTTGTACTTATATATTGTACATATATTAATGATTGTGAAGCACTTTGGGCAACAGCGGTTGCATTAAATGTGCTATATAAATAAAGAATGAATGATTTGCAATGCATTACAAATTCCTTTTATTGTTAGATGCTGGAATCTGTTGAATTGTAATCTGTATATTTGAAGTATCCACACGTTGGGACGAAAAAGGCAAAAGCAAATCAAAGTAATCCCTGCAATCGATTCTTTCAAGCTAACTACTCATGCATCGCTCATGCTGGTACAGATGGCATCTAAATTGTGACAGATCACTGAATACCTCCATTATCACACCCAAAATGATTTCTAATTCTTTTTGTATACATAAAATATGCAGTGTGCCTTTCAGCCGTGGCTCTGCAATTCACAAATATTTAATCATTAATCAAAGTGATTCAATACAAAAAATATTTTTGCATTTTCTGAAGGAAATATCTAGTGCTTGAAAGGCAGCACAACACTATATATTTAAGACGTTTTGTTGGATGTATATGAGAGTGAACCCACAAAATGACATTGTTTTTGCAGTGTAAAAACAGATGCAAGAACGAAATGACTAATCACAAATCAGTATGCAAATTGATTTAAAGAACACCAATCACAATGAATATTAGCCTACAATTAGAAAATCTAAATAAAAAAGTAGTTGGAATGTTACAATTGAATCATTCGAATGAAAAATTTGATTCTTTTGAAATGAAACTGATTCACAGAAATGAATCAAATTTATAATGTTGCTTTTGCAACTTTAAACTTGACTGCGAGTTTAAATTAGAGACACTATTTCAGCATTTTTTTAATTGACAAATAAAAAAACCCCATCAAAATCATCACAAAATTGTTTAATTTAATTGTGAATATCATTATGAATATTAGATTTCTTGTCTGACCTTATTTAAATCTAAATTAGTTTTATTATAATGGGGTCTTCACAATGTTTCGAGGAAAGGTAGATCCAGTCCTCAAGGCCCTGTCATTCCTGCCCCAGTTAAGACTTTAGCTGTGACTGATGACCGATGCAGAGGCCGGACTCAAGATTTATCGGGACAATAAATGAGATGGGCTGCTCATTGCAGCGGACTGCGATTACTCAAACGTTTGGCATAGAGGAGAACATCAAACATCTGTCCATACATTTTTACAGCAGACACTGCTTGAGAATTCTATGTTTAAAATTCACAGTAATCACAGCACACACTAGTATTCAGATCAGCTTTGCTTACACAGGACATGTCCATAATTTACACGTGGCACATGCTTTTCTTTATAATGAATTTATGAGCTTACATTCAGTACAAACAGTTTCTTCACCAAGCCCCTTCTGTTCTCAATGTTAAGCCTCCCACTGTGATGCAATCAGTGAGGGGATTTATGTCATAAATTGCCTAGATAATAAACTGGATGTGAATAACAATTAATTTTTTCTATTTATTTTTTTGTGCCATTTGCTTTTACAATGACATTACACCAGTATTCTCTGCACCGCTTTTCACAACACTACTGAATCTTTTATTGCACATATTCCACTCCAAAAACAAACAAACACTACGATCAGAGTAATCAGATTCACAAATGAACAAATCTTACATGAATTTGTCAAAAAGGCGCACAAGTTATTGGACTAAATTAGGGCTGTTCTATTCATAAAACTTGCTTTGATAATGAAATAGAATAATACTCTTGGATTAATCACCAAATACACAGATATGTGTACACTGCTGGTTCTCACCTAATTGATTCTAGAAAGGAAAATTACGGTATTTTTGTGAGAGGATGTTTGCGTAAAATAATATATGAGGAGTCAAGGCGGAGAGTCTGTGTAATCTGTGTTATCATGGGCACACCTGCAGACACTTCATCACTAGGCATGCTAATTTTTAGAGCATTGTGGAAACACAGAGGATGCATTATATAATTAGCTTCTAGTGGGACCACTTATGTCAAGTCTGTATTTATTTAGTGGGTGAGCCAAATAGCAATATATTTTGTGTCCTTATCTATCCTTTCAAAAAAAAAAAAAAAAAAAGCCATGCCAGGAACTGCAAACCATATTAAAATGTAAAGAATGGCGATTCTAGCTTTTGGCGTTCCCGACGTGATATTCCCAGATGAGCCGAGCTCCATCTTGACTCGGGTATCTTGATTGATGGCGTGGAACTTCTCTAGCCACTCCCGAATGTTTTGGGGAGCCGGTATCCCATTTGTAATGCTGCCGCATAGTACCAGCGATATGAGGCAGATGCTTTGAATTGGCTGCCTGGGGTCAGCCCTGACCTATCACATCCATCTAGACTGTGACTAGGGAAACATTACTAATCCTTGGACTGACATTCCGAATTCGATTGAGGAGTCAAAGATATGAAATTAATGCAGGTGCTCAGTGAGCGGGACTTGATTATCCTGACACCTGGCTGACGATCACCTTGTCTAATTGTTCAAATGCTCTCCTTCCCCTGACTTTCCGCATAGTTTTCGGGGCATATTCCAGCTGTCGGCTCTCACCTCCTCGCTACCACCAGCTGAGGGAATTGGGCTCTGTTGCTGTCACTTCGCGCCCGCTTCCAGGCAGAATCCGCAGTCCCTCTGAGTCCCAACATGCTGCAGCCGCCTCTCGCTTAGCTTTTTCAGTCTGATTTGATATTGATGCCAGACTTTCCAGGCCACTTTGATTCTGTTCTACATGAAAACTTCATGGCGGTTTAATTTCCTGTTGGTTTGATGATAAATTAATTTTAATTGTCATCTCGATGTCATTACCCAAGACATTTTAACAGATTCCAGAAAGCAAATGTGTTATCGGCTCTGCTTTCCTTGTTATTCATATTACATGGAGGCGGTTTGCAGTTAGAACTGACCTGTCAGTGTACTTGTACAAGGAAAATGTAATTATGCTACGGACATGAATTAAACATAATTCCAGCCTGGTTTCATGCCAGAGAATGTTGTTTTTTTCTTGGTTCAGTCTGGTTGTGAGTACTTTGAATTGAACACCACTTAAAATTTTAAATTATAACATTTATTTGAATTAGTATTCCTGTGATGCAAAGCTGAATTTTCAACGTTTTTACTCCAGTCTTATGATGTGTCATATGATGATCCAAGCAGAAATCATTCTAATATGCTGATTTGCTGCTCAAAAATCTTTTTTTTTTGTACTGGGATTTTTAGGATTATTTCAAAAGAACATTTAGATGACATCTTTTGCACAAAGATTTCTAGAAATGTAGCATTTTAAGTAGATTTACTGTTGTCTTTGACCAATTCAAAGCACCCTTAAAGGGTTAGTTGACCCAAAAATTAAAATTCGGTCAGTAATTACTCACCCTCATGTTGTTCCAACCCTGTAAGACTTTCGTTCATCTTCGGAATACGAATGAACACTTTCACGCGTAAGTTTAAAATATTTTAACTGAGTTTTTCAAGGACTTAACGAGGCGTTAAACGTCAGCAAATATTCGCGCGAAATTCGTCCCGGTGTAAACAGGCCTGTAAACAGGAGTGAGTTCACGTAGTGTAAAAGTGTAACATCACACGCATCATACACATGACCAGCGTCAGCCAATAGAGAGCCTACATTCTGACATACAACTGATATTTAAGTAATATTAATTAACACCATGTAATTATAGTGTTAGGGTTAGTAAAAGGGTTTGGTTTAGGTTAGTTGCATGTATTATGCATCCTTTACTGTTATTACAGTACATGTAACACGTAACAAGGACACTGAAAAAAGGGCTACCAGAGTCATTAAATTGATCGTTTTCATAAAATGGTATAATTTTATTCATTGCCATGCACAACCATTGAGTCAGATGCGATCTAGTGTCATCTTGTTTCACTGGTCTTCACTGTGCTAAATACAAAAGTCTGCTCACCTTCCATCATCAGGGCTTGTTTACTCAGCACCTGCTGTCATGCAGCTAAAGCTGGCGGTCTTAGGTCTAATACATAATGGCAGACGTGACGGCTATTCTTTCTCAGTATCAAAACCTGTCTGATTGCCTGGCTTTTATCAGATAAAGCCATGGGGCACAGAACAAGATAAAACAGCCTTCTTGCCTCATTTGAAGAGATCTGGCTATATTTAGCAGACTCTTTTTTTCTAAAGAAACAAAAAGAAATCAATAATACTTTAATAGATTGCAGAGCCAATTACACAAAAATAAAAGCGAGTGGGGTAAATAGTTAAACAGCAAAGGAAATATTGAGGGAGCTGTGTTGTTCAAGAAAAGATCGTCTTCACATGCAGGGGGTAAATTGTCAATTGGATACACTGAGATTTTCTTTTTAAGGCTTAAATTTAGATCTGAAGAGCATTCGGCCATTCTGACCATCGGTTGTTATGATATAACTGCATTTTTGAAAGGCCAAAGCCTCAAGACCTCTGCTCGCACCGATGGAGAAATTGTACCCGGCTATCTTGTTAGAAAATGCCAACGTAGAGTGACTGATTTTTATTGTCAATTTGTAAGCCATAAGACAATTTTCCAATAACGCCAATGAGGAATTACTGAAACACAACATCCACAGCAATTTTTTTTTCTACTTGCATTGTTCTGTTTTTCATCTTTACCGTTTCCTGGATTCTGTGCTATTTTATCATGCTTTTGCACTTTTATGAATTTTCAGCCATGGTTACCACTGATTGGCATGTGGTGGAGCCCACTACAGGTGATGTAAGGTCGTAGAAACACGGAGGACTGTGTCTTTCAAAAGCAATTACTCAAGAACACCTACTTTCATCTGGCCACGAACAAACTCCTACCTTAAGAAATATGTCTTGAAATTACTCGGGTGTCATAGCAACAACTGAAGACAAGAAGACATACGACCACATGAAGATAAGTGCAGGTCACGCTGAAAACCAGTCCATGCAAGACTAAAACTAAATAGAGGAAAAAGGGAATGCAACAAATGTACAGTACAACGTGCTATATACACATATATAATATAAATATAAAAAGCTCTCAATTAAGTGGTACTATTTGCTTCAAGTGGACAAATTCAGTCAATTGTATTGCATTAAAAAAGCTTCAGCAACAAGCTGAATTTAAAGTGGTAAAATAAAAGAGCAAGTATTATGCCTTCCCATTGTGTTCACTTTACAGCTCCACAAGCTGTTCTTTTAGATTAAAGATTTGAGAAAATCTTTAATCTAAAAAGATTTTCTTTTAGATTAAAGATTTGAGACCAAAGACTTTAGACAAAAGCTGTTATTTTGGATTAAAGATTTGAGAAAGCTAAAACATATCAAAAATTAATTTCACGGATAGTAAATATCCGCAATGGAAGACGATTTTGATATATCTAAATATGTTTAGATCTTCACAGTGAAAGGTAAAACTTCCGAAATCTCGGTGTAAACAATGAGTGACTTTCGGCGCATTTGCAGACCGAAGCGCCCGTGCTGTCAGATCAGTTGGACATGGCTGTGGTTACATGAGGTAAAAATTATATAAATACTGTTCGTTTACTCACACAAACCGCTCGTTTCGTGTCTTAGGCCATCAGTGTGTACTTACATTTACGAGTCATTAAATCATGTTTAATTTTGACTTCTCTGTGCATGCTCTTTGAGGTGGACCCCCTAAACCTGCATTATATGACAGATAGACAACAACGGTTTGACCGAAAAATATCAAAATTGAAAATACTGTGGAAACAAAGACACCTACATCTTGGATGCCTTTGAAGTAAGCTAAAACATATCAAAAATTTATTTCAAAGTGAACTATCCCTTTAATAGCACTGGACTTCAGGCACTTTACAAGAACACAACCTTGTTTCTGCAGCGACTTTCAGCATGTTTCCTATAACAAAGTCGGACGTTTACATTTTACGTGGCGTGAGAAAGTCACACGAACCATGGTTTTCCAGAAATGGATTTCAAACTCGTAACTCGAATTTTTTTTTTTTTTTTTTTGCCATTCACGCATGCTAAATCTGATCAGATTTCAATCAGATATGCACAAAAATACAATTTTGACTGACAGTGTGAACGAGGCTTAAAAAATCACTCAAATGAGCCACTTCATTTAATGAATAGACTTACTCAAATAGACTTACTGGTTTGTATTCACTGAATCCATTATGTTGATACTTTAACATTTGACTAATTTACTGAACTGCTTGCTTGTCTTTCAGTTATGCTTGAATCCTAATGCAGCTTTGTGTATTTAAAGATTTTTGTAAACTCAAGTTTGTTCATATGACGAGACGTAGTCAAGATTCACTTGTCATTTGTGTTTGGAAAAGTTTGCTGTTTAAATAACACGCGGAAGCTCGGAGCTAATCTCACAAGTCTAGATTTCCCCAGCGTCCGTCAACTCGTAACACATTCGTCACACGGCACTGATGAAACCTGCAGCAACAATCCAAATCCTGTGACTGACACTTCAGCCACACTCACTGAGCAGTGTAATCTCATGGATCACTCTGGAATCTGAAAGCCCCAGCAATGGCTGCTCTGGTGGGCTTAGAGGCAGTGGCACCAAAAGCCTGGATGAGTCCCACCTCAGCCCCTCCTCATTCTTACCTTCCACACATGCTGGACTGGCTCTGGTAGTGCCGGCAATCTGGCCCTTCCTGCAGGCACACCTGGCCGTCTGCCGGGCGATGGTCCTCCTTGGCTGACTGCTGTCCCTGTCCAGAGTCACGATTTCACATGTACCTGCCACCAGCTGACCTGAATGAAGGACAAAGAGTTTAGATAAATGTCAGCTGAGCTTTCAATAACACCAGGATGACAATCAAATCTTTTTTTAAGAAAACGTCAGTGGTGCCAAAATCTCCGCCGCAATGCTTGAATGTTGTGGCTGACAAGGTGTTGCTAATCTGTTCTGAGTGGTTTTTAGCACATTTATATGTGGTTGCTAGGGTGTTCAAGGTGGTTGCTAGGCGGTTACTAACCCATGTCTGTAATTCCAGTCCCTAACTATGGCTCAGGTCTTGGGCTGCATGATTAATCAGAACAAAACTGAAATCTTGATATGACAGCGACATTGGCTGCGAGTTAATTAAATAAATATATGCCATGCATGTTTCAGTGTTTTCAAGCAAGCAGCTTGTTATGAACTGTTTTTTTCAGTGTCTCAGAGCGGCTCAGTTCACAGTAAATGCTGCTGCACATGAACTCAGTTTGGGTCGCTAATAATGTGCATTTGGGAACAAGCACAAGCACCAACCGTCTTCCAAAGTTGTCTTGTATTGTAAAATTAATTTTTTTTTTTTTTAATATTTCACAGATTACAGATTACAAATATTGCAATTAGTTATATTTCTTAGCAATAATAATTATGAGTAATTATTATAATATTAACTTATTATTTATTATTTACGGCTAATATTTATATTTAAAAAGCTCATGGATTTTTGAAAATGACTGTTCATGTAGTGTGGAATATAGCTCTAAGGGAATGAAAACATCCTGCAAAGATTTATATCTGAAAGTGCACCCTATATAAAGTTATTGTCTTTCAAAAGTGAGAGTCGACTCTGAGTCTATGAAATGAATTGTTTTTGAAACCGAGTCATTAGCTGTTACATCGTGACGTAGATAGGTCATTGGCCGCTCCCAACAACTGCACACGCATTCGGAAGTGTAAACTTGAATTGACGTTTTTACTTCAGCTGAATCGCATCATGTCGAGAAGACGCTGTGTTCTACATTGCTAAGACAGTTCAGCCACTTGTTTCCATTGTCCAGGGACGAGCATGTGAAGAATCAGTGGTCAGAGTTCATATTTGCAACAGTATAGCCCGAACCTTGTGTTCTCATCATTTTAATGACGAATCATTCGCAAGCCGGTTGTTCCCGAAGGAGGGCTCAGTATCCAGTGTATATGGATCAGGTTCGTCCTCCTCCGAATCACAATCTGTAAGTAATATTAATAATGTTTGCTGTTATGTTTTCTGTAGCATGCACAATATAGTTATATTGTGTTTTGTGTGTTGTGTACACTCCGCGCAGCTTCTAAGCGGGTTAAAGTTTTGTTTTTGATATTCCCCCGACATTCATTGAAAAATGGCAATTACCTCTTAAACGACTTAGCCAAATATGACTTTGCTCTATATAATAAGCACTGCCCCTCAAAAGCCGCCGCAATGTGAGTTTCTCCGGGAAAGCTCGCTCTTGACGGAGACGCGAGTAAGGGACCGTGTGTGGAAAGTGCACTTTTTCTGACACGTTTGTTCATACACTATATACAATTTTCAACACTTGACAAGCTATAATCCATTAATGGTGATGGGCGTTCTGTTTCCGACAGTCTCTGCCTACGGTTTACCACTAACAACTGACTGGGTCATTTGACCAATCGCCGCAGATTCGCGTCACTCAAAGGAGGTGTTTGGGAAAATGAATCGTCGAACGAATCATTTGGGAGTCGTTGAGCGAATCAGTTAAAAATAAATGCATATTATAGGACAAATAAAGTGTTTTTTATCCTTGCATGCACGTTAAACTGTTTTTGGGAACTCCCACAACAAAAATAGGAACATTTCAAATGCTATGATAGGGGCTCTTTAAAATAGTCAGGTTAGTATATTATCTCACTATTTTTGGCCAAATTGTGCAACCATACAAATAATCACAGCAAACCTGGAGCTCTTTTTCTCGTAAACCACATTTAAAATCCCATAATCATCATGGGTCCCTTCTTCATTGTAAGTTCATGTTTTTTATGTTTTTTTTTTTTTTTTTTGCTCTGTCTTATCATCTACCAGGTGAAAATTGCAAGGCTGATCGCTAAGAAATGTAATAGCTCAGCTCTCCTCGGCATGCCGCATTAATTAATCTCATAATTATAGCACAAACTGTGAGGAACGACTGAAGTAGTGATGTTAAGAAAAATGTTCCATCATTAAAAAGGTTTTAGCCATAAAACATGTATAGTCATTTTAACAGGACAGAAAATAAGCACAAAAGAGAGAAACAGAATCATGACGCAACGCTGGCCAGATTCAAACTAGCGTCTCCCATATAACACCACGACGCTCTGTATTTGGAAGTAGCCCACAGCTTTGACAGAATAAATGGATTTTTACGGTGCTGAGCTGTTAGTTTCCCTACTAATATTGTAGACTGAGGCATCACCCTTGTTAGCAGACTGATGGGGACCAAGTTCTGCTGAAGCTGCACACTGCAGCCATTGTTCAATGTTTCTCTATTATCCTGCACCTGCATAAACAGGAATCTATATACACGGACTCATCAAGCCAGTGCAATATGTTAGATATGGACCTGCGACAGTGAATCATGTCCTAGCAGTGACGTGTCAGCGGGAAAAAAGCTTCATGCGTCAGGGTGGGCTGCAGATCTTCCACAAACCCCACTGTAAGTCCAGACAGATGGCTAAGAAAGCAGCGTACAACCTCTTGAGAGATCGCTTATGTTAGATTATGATTAATTCAGCGACAGCATGCTTCAACACCCCAACCCTCTTACAAAGCAATGGTTATGTATACAGTTAGGTTATCCTTTGCCAAGCTTTTAACAGGCAGTCTGTCACAATTGCCATAATGGCTTTCGCTTTACCTGCAAGACAAAAAACATATACATCTAAACACTACCGCTGATAATAGAGTTTGCGTGCCAGGAATCTGATTGTTATTATTTTATCAGTAGATTATATTAATTTACCATACATCCAGCAAGCAATTCCACGTATTGTGGAAAAATCTTTCAACCTTAAATAACAATAATCATTAATATTACAAATGTAACATTAATAATAATAAATAAATAATGCAAAAAAGCTTTAATTTAGCGCAAAAATGTATAGTAATATTGTAATTTTTTATAAATCTTAATAGAATAAAATAACAATATAATTAATATTATTAATGTATAATAATAAAAATATAACGCTATCTAAAATAGAATAACAATAATAGAACAATAGTATTATAATATAATGTAAATCATAATATAAATACAATTATTGTTTCTCCAGAAACAGTTTTTAGCTCTACACTACCATTTCTAGTTTCTACTGCTCTCTCTTAGTGTTACTGTACTGTGCTTACTGGTAGGGCACGGGTTTGATCCCCAAAAAAAGTATTAATAAAAATTATAAAAACACAGTGTTACTGCTTCATTTACAGCATCTTTGTAAAGCTTGAATCATAATGTGAAAGATGCAAATAATTTGCACTTAAATGTGCCACATAAACAGTAAAGATCAAAGAGAAATAATGTACACGAATATTCATAATCAACAGCCAGTAGTGGAATAAAATAAAGTAATAAATAAAATTACAAAATAAGATTGTTTCTTGACTGTGTTTGAGTTCAGCAATTTGCAAGTTGTAAATGTTAAGATTACACTGAAATAATCTAGGATATTGTTAAAAGTATTGTTCCTTTAATGAAATAAAAACAAAACAATAAGAAGAATTATTTCTCTTTCTTGACTGGGAAGGTCTGAGCAAGTTACAGTGTGTTTCATAGCACTTCAAGCAATTTTATCTCAAAAGATCCAAGAAAATATGATTTCCTTGTGATATGGCTGCAGATAGAGACAATTGCGCTCACTACAGAAAGAAATGTTCAATCAGAGAAGTGTGTCTGAGTATTGTAGTCATTAGTAGCATGCAGTCTTAGGGCATCTGTGATTTAGTGTAGCTGTGAGTGACTGTGAGGGTGTATGTCTTTAGCACATGATGGATTATAGCATCTTCTTGACTAGATACGACGGCCGGTGGAATTATTGGCATGTAAAATTACCTTGTGTCAGTATATGTATGCAGCTGAAGTTTGATCTACAGTGTGTGAAATGGTTCATCTGGCCAAACATGCATGAGCTCCAACACAAACAATGATGGATGTCACAGACACAGCGTCAGTGCAGAGGTGCTGAATGTAAAACCACATCCAGGCTGGATTGGTTTGGTTTGCATATCTGTTTTCTACACATAAATAAAAAATACAGCCTGTTTCTTTTTTTACATTTATGAGCACAGCTGAAAATCTGCTTGCCCCGGGCACTAGAGAAAAGAAGCCATAATTTTCAGAGGCTCTCCTCTCTCAGCCCATCATCGATTCATCAGGATGCGAAGCCCATCACCTTTTATTACACCCAATATTTCAGTCTCAATTTGAAACTGAGGAGAAAATATAGCAGGTTTGTTAGAACTACCAATATAAACAAAAGCATGTGAAGAAAAGTTCTCCAGACGACCTACTCTTGTCATAAAATACCAAGAGAACTTTCAATTCAATCTATTTTTGGCCAACTCGGTTGCTGGAGCGCTTTAGTGATTATTGGAACATTTTCAAGAAGTGATTTGATTTTTTCCCCCTCTCTATCAGTTTTCCTCTTCTCCACACATCATTTTTCACTCTCTTTCTGCAAAATCAAATATCAGCATACAAAAATCAGAAGGCATTGCTGCGGTGTCTGCTCTAATAGGTGAACGTCTGCTTTTTCTCTCTTCAAAAGACTAAATTGAAGTTCTGAAGCTCTGAATAAAGTAGAATCGTTGATATGACAGGGCAGATACTTCATGATTACATCATCACAGAATATGATGTGAGCGCAACTCACAGGAAATGAGAGCGGTGATGTGGGTGGAAACTCCTCGTTATCAAAGTTGCTCTGAATTGAATAATGTATTCTTCAAAATAAACTCTCTGATTCTCGAGACGTGGGACAAAACGGGTTACGGAACTGGAAAAACAGACAT